AAAGACAGTAATAATTATAATTGGTGAAACAGTCTCTTTGTTTAAAACTATTTTATGTAAAACAGCAAAAACTTTAACATCATAAGTCACAGGAATCAATATGGATGGTCAGACATACACACTATTCCACTGTGTGCTCGTCTCATTTACTTTGTGCCAACAATGCATATAAAAAGAAATATCTAGGATAAAGATTTTTCTACTGAAACAATATTGACTTATATTTTTGTTTTCTTGGCTGAAAGAAAGCATATTTATATATAATGTACAAAAATCATGTACTTTAAAACTAAACAAATGAACGTGGGAAAGTGGTTTAAACTGGAATACCAAAATACTGAAATATGGTAATTTCAGAACTGGTACAGAGCAACAGGAGAAATGAAAAAAACACGTTGACTGGGATGCACAGCAGATAAAAACAACAATTGGCAGATCTACATTCGATTGACTAATTTAAATTTCTGCTGTGTTTCAGCCCTAAGTGTTCCCTTCTTTCCTAATAGGGAAGTGTATGACGTTAACATCTATAAATATAGATAAATATAAATATGTGTTTCCTGAACTTTTGTACATGATGGTACACTATAATATGGTTCAACATCTCACAGTTTACCAAATCATGTATTATTGTAAAGTTGTACAAGTATGTAAGGGTATATGCATTAACTATATTCCTTCTATTCTGTTCTAAATTTCATTTTTATAGCTGTATAAGAGCAAATCTAATAGATTTTAAAAATAACTACTATAAAACGAGGTAGAAAAATAAAACATTGAAGTTAAAAGTAGTTATTCTGACAGTGAATTATGGAAAACACTAAATGAAATCTGATAAATATTGGAGCAGCAACAATTTAACCAAAAAAACAGCAACACAGGTGACTGAACCTGAATTCAAAATATCACAACGTACTTAGATGGGCATCATGACACACTGGTGGGAAAACACTGCTACAGGTAGTAAATTATTATTAGATTTACATTCACCATAAACATTTGAGCATATTGTAAATATATATTATTCCATAACCACCAGTTAAAGTCTTCAACAATCATTTATACACATTATATTTTCTATTAACATATTAATAACAGTAACACATACATTTCACAGCCTCACCATACAAGTTAAATATATAAAATTGAAACAAAATACTTTATACAACAAACTAAACAACCCATGCAAAAAGTTTTAACATATCATACACAACATTTTACAGGTTCTCATATACAACGCATAGCAAAATAATGATAACATCACTCTTTAAGATCTTTGAAGTAATAAATATAAACATTAATTCATAAATGGGAACTTCTTAACAGGTGTCTATGAGTACTCTACAAAAGTTTCTAAGTTACACGTATGTCATAACTAGACACACACATACAAGTGTACAAGTGTGAATTATTTAAAGAAGAGGTACAGACATATTCATACATTATCATCATGCATTTGTTGAGAAAAATAATTGTCACATCATATGTTGGTAACTATTTTCCTTACTGCAATGCACTGTTAAGAGCATCCAAGAACATACTCAGCTCTTGATTAATATTAATCATGAAAACACAAGTGATGGCTTTTAAAGAAAAATACCCAACCTGTTGCAAAATAATTCTATTAAATTTGATTATGGCTGAAGTTATATCTTAACTAATTGGGAAGTGATATTTGTACAAAGCTGACTACGATTTAAACAACAAAATCCATCATATGAAGGGATATGTGAGATAAACAAAAGATTAAAATGACAAGTAAGAAAAAGTATAAAATCTGAAAGTTTATGAAATGAAAGCAGGTCCTACTTTTTTTTTAACAAAAGTGAAACTTGTGTTAATAAGAGCAAGTAAACTCATATAATTTAGGAAATGGAAATTAAATTGTTTAGAAGTGTTATGAGATGTACCAGATCAGACAAATTTAAAAAGGGAGATATGAAAACCAACTAAATATTTAATTGGTAAATGCATGAATATAAAGAAAAATGGTTAACTGAAATGGACAAGACTTCCAAAACCTGCCTTTCAATACAAACTAAAAGGAAAGGGACAATGGAAGGCCTTTTGAAAGGTCATTGTGTACTCAGAACAGAGTTCAGCTTGAGCCATGTAAGGCACAAGGATGATTCTCAGCAGCCCTATCATTTACGCAGTTTGGCAAGCCTCCCGTTTTACTTGCAATGCTGATGATAATTTAACACTTTCCTGATTTAGTATTTAAAACCTATATCTGTTCCACACATTGTCATCACTACCATTTTGATTGATTTTTGTTGAACAAAATGACTAGATTAAATTTAGTAGTTCTTACATTAATGTCAAGTCTTTGCTAATCTGTTGGCAAGCTTTCATATTTTTTTGTTTCACTCCTTGAAGTATTGTGATTAGGATGCAAACCCAGACTGAACATACAGAGACTGTACAATCCATGCCTATTAACACTGTAAATGTATATGATTTATAACATAATGTCACCTATGCATATACCTGTCCATTATAGTACCCTTGTTTCTTCACCACTTAATCTTAATTTTGGTTTAACATTTTACACTTTGACACAACATGTTTCAGCCCCAAATGACCATCTTCAGGTGTCTTGATATGTTACAAATATTTTATTAATTATGTTAAAACTGCTACACTGTGTTAGTCCGTGTTAAAATCACACACTGTAGTTCTTTTTTCAAGGCAAAACAAGATAAAATCCATTACAATTTCTATTAAACCTTCGTTATTTTGGCACATTTTATTTCACCTCACAAGGAGTGTCATCTATTGTTCATAAATGTATGCTTGTCTCAGGTATTTTGTTCGGGCAGCTTGCCCTTCATGTTTGTAGCCTACTTTTCAGTTATGTCTGCATATGTCCCTTTACTAGTAAATACAACACCACACGCTGTAGAGGAGACACACAAACCAGGAGTATATGCAGACATAACTGAAAAGCAGGCTACGAACATGAGGGCAAGCTGCCCGAACAAAATACCTGAGACAAGCATACATTTATGAACAATAGATGACACTCCTTGTGAGGTGAAATAAAATGTGCCAAAATAACGAAGGTTTAATAGAAATTGTAATGGATTTTATCTTGTTTTGCCTTGAAAAAAGAACTACAGTGTGTGATTTTAACACGGACTAACACGGTGTAGCAGTTTTAACATAATAAAATATTTGTAACATATCAAGACACCTAAAGATGGCCATTTGGGGCCGAAACATGTTGTGTCAAAGTGTAAAATGTTAAACTAAAATTAAGATTAAGTGGTGAATAACAAGTGTTGCAATATTGACAGATGATAAATACATGGACGTTAAGTTAGTATTATCAGCTAAAAAATTTCAGGTGAAGATGTTATTGAAGCTGTTGTGTGAGCATGAGGGCCATGTAAGCAAGAGTGGGTCATAACATTTTCTATAGTAATAAAAGTTTCAAAATTGTCTAACTTGGTTTACTGGACAAACTCTTTAGCAAAATACAAAATATTTTGGTTTGATGACTCATTACAGCATTAGATGTGAAATTTGGCATTACAGGTCCCTCTGCTTAACTAATTAAGCACTACACCATGAAGGCTTATGGGGAGTGGATGTACAGACCTGCGTTTTCTTGACCTCGGCACTAGCTGGAGGTGAGTGGTCAGCTTCACGCCCCTGACGTTTTTACCCCCTGGGAAAGAGCCCTCGGTATCCATTGAATAGGAGGCTGGGTGGGCTCCAGAGCCGGTCTGGACGACGTGGAGAAGAGAAAATTCTTGTCCTTACTGGGATTCAAACTCTGACCCCTTGGTTGTCTAGCCCATAGCTAGTCACCATACCAACTGCACTATACCGCCTCCTTGGCATTGCGAACTCTCCTATATTAATCACTGTCAATTTTGCACATGCATCCTGTGTGTTCACAGTAAAACCTCCTTTTAAAGTGCCTTTGGGAAGAAGAGAATCTGAACACCAAACTAAGAAAAATTGTAAATGGAAGACATTTAAAACTGAGATTACTGACTTGGCATTAATCACTGAAATTGCAGGTTAAATGAAGAAAACCTTAAATGTAGGAACATTAAACAGGGGTGACATGTTTAAACTCCACACTGAATTATCCCTAGTCAGATTGACTATATCACAGTATTATAAAGCTAAAGTGGGTCCCACTTTATGCAGGATGATTTATGATTTAATATCCTAACTTTACAAGCTTTTATCCGAGGTCATTCCCAATTAGAAATGTCTTTTAAACATTCTCACATATATTCTCAATGCAGGAGTTGGGGTAATTCATTACTTTATGTCTCAACTCCAGAAGATTATATCCAAAATCATTCCCAGTTATAAATGTCAGATAAATACTTCTCAGAGCAAGATTTGAGGTTCTCATGTGGGGATTATGAAGAGTTCTATCTCCCAGACTATATTATGCTGTGTAGTCCATTGAAAGTAAACTGATGTCTTGGAGGAACATGTGCCCTCCATCTTCAGGGTCAAAGAATAAGCCAAGCAAGCAACCAGCATGAAACAGTCATCAGTGTTTCATGCTAGTTTCTTTCCTGGCTTATTCTTGTTCAAGAAAAGTTGGGCAACATGTCCCACCGAAACATTGGCCGACTTTCACTGGATTAAATGGCATTATATCGCAAAAGACAGAACTCTTCAATCTCAATGATTATGCACCAAAGGTTGTTTGAAATTGAAGAATTGTTTTGAGCAAGTCATGGTAATTACATGTTGATAAGAATGCAATATTTGCATGCACATGCACACCCTTGAATGGAACCGGCAGATATTAAGTACGTGAGTAAATTCTAAACCGTTCTGACAATGGTTTATGTCACTCAGAAGTCCAGAAACCCAGTAATACTAAGCATGTTGTGTTGCAACTGTCTCACAGCATGATATCACTCATTTTTTTGGTTTAAACATATCTTTCACGTTTTCAAATGCCGAATATGCAGATATACTGCACATTTATAGATTTTGTGATGGGAATTTTTATGCTTCTGCTAAATACCAGTGATGGTATCCAAATCAGTGAATTCCATACTGAAGAGTACTTAGCAACATCTTCAAAAGACTGTGTGACAGCGGTTCGTTTTGTAGTGTTCCTTCTTCAATGGACTGTCTGGCATGATGCAGTATGGCTGAAGAGGAAAACATTATACAGATGGCACAATGAAGTCCTAATCAGTCTACAGATTATTAGGCATCATCACAGTCCATGAACATGAGCACCGAGAATGTTACAACAGGAAAGCATGTGTTGATACCACAGTACAGCATGTTCAGCATCTCGAACCCAGGGATCAAGCATTGATGTGTTATGTCCAGTGACAAAGCTCATTTTATCTATGACAGGGTCAATAACACTAACAACCCACATCTGTGATCTGAAGTAAAGCCCCATGATACTATGGAAATGAATGTTTAACATCAGTTCAGTGTAAATGTGTAGTGTGGTATCATTCGCAATCAGATGATCAGTCCATTTATCTTCAAGGGTCATCCTACAGGTGACATTTATCTAAATTTCTGGAGAATGAATTCCTGAATCCATTAAAGGACATGCCTCCAGAATCATGATTGTATATGCATTTGCAACATGTTGCAATGCCTCCCCATTTTACCCACAGAGTGAAAACACATCCTGAGCATCGCTTCCCTGGTTAATGGATCGGTTGTGGTGGCCCCACAACACTGGCCACCCAGAACTTGAGACCTGAACTCCCTAGATTTTTATCTCAGGGCCACATTAAAGATCTAGGGTGAATTGAATTGCTATATTGCACTTTGGATGCTGCAACAAGCATAAACATCAAACTTAATGAAGAAATACGAACCATATGCTCAATTTACTTATGAGCTAGGATGTGTATTGAGGCTGTGGTCATTTTGAATAATTACTGTAAATCCATCAATAAAAACTATATATAAATACATGTGTTCAATTATTTTTTGTAACATTCTAGGAATGATAAATCCATACTTGTTGAGGACTTGAATCATGTCTGTTGGCAATTCTAACTAGGAATGATCTAAGGTTAACACACTAACTTGTGAATCACACCATAATTCTCTCATATTGAATCAATCTCCTGTACCATGCATTCAAAACAATCAACATTTATATGAGTGAAAATCTTAAATTAAGAAATGGGATTCCATTGCTTATATATATATATATATATTCCTTTCATTCTGAAATTAGAAAATAAATGTACTATGAACGCTTATCTCTTCATTTCCAAAATGTCTTCCTTTTATCGTAACAATTTTTACTTTCATTTTTCTGTCATGGAGCCCTGCACAAAGCATTTGATTGATCATATTCACAAACAAAATATAAGAAGTTCTGTGGTAGGTAATAAACTGTATCAGCCTCTCTCCCTCTGCCCTTGCATTATTTTGAACATTTTGTGGAACAAATGACAGTATGTGATCACTCAATGGTCATTAGTAAGTCATCTCCTTCAAGTTTCATGTTGGGCTTAATGTCTAATGACTTAATAACACCAGCAACAGGAGCTTGTACCACCATCTCCATCTTCATGGCTGACAGCACTACCAAAGCTGCACCCTTCTCCACTCTGTCTCCGACAGCTACACGAATGTCAATCACTGAACCTGGCATTGGTGCTCCAACCTGGCCCTTGACATTCTTGTCGGCCTTCGGGTGGATGTGCAGTTCCTAAATATTACAAATAGGAATTATTATTGCTCAATGTGTAAGGTACACATTTAATATCCCTTTCAGGCACTGAATATGTAACTCTGAGATCAGAACATTATTTCTAATCTATGTTTTACCCTTATACTGCACACGGGATTTAACGTCTCCTTTCACTGTGATTCCTATAGTTATAAAAGAGTGCTTTATTTTTTCTCTCCAGAAAGGTAAAGGTACTGGTAGTCACATGTGACAAAGGAGTAAGTTACTGCAAGTTTTGTCACAGAAAATACACCAATGAACTCAATATCCTGTTTTATTAAAATGGAAGCCTGTATGCTATTTCATTGCACACCACCAGGAAAAAAAAACTTGTTATTGAGACTGGATCTTCCTTATATTTTCCCTTATTTTATTTATTTATTTAATAATCTATTTAATGACATAACTAATAGATCAGACTATACAGAATTGAATGATGGGATTAATGAAAAATGAGTTGAAAGAATGCAGAAGGAAATGGCTTCGGCTTCATTTGAGGTACCATTGTATAATCCCACATGGAGGGATTGAAAAAACCATGAAAACCTCAGTCCAGATAGGCAGTTTCTGGACTAAGATTTAAATTTGAAGCCTTCTGAGTTATAATTACTCAACAGCAACATTTGATTTCTATGCTATTATATACCGGCAAGTTCAACTGTTCATCAAATCCTTTTGCATTCAGTAAACATCTGAGAATACATGGGAATATAACAGACCAGTACTTCTGTTAAGATTTTAAACGATGTCACGATTTATTTCCCAAAGAGGTACTATGTAACTAAATAACTCCATGGAGCAGACCCCTTCTTAAGAAGCTTATAGTCACTCACCTAGTCCGGAGGTTCCTCACCTTTTATGGAACCCAGGGGTTTATTATTGTCTTTATGTGGGCCCAGCACTGATTGCTATCCTGTGCTAAATGAATCCAGTCTGCACTTCCTACCCTACTTCTTTAGAATGCATCTTAATATTATCTTCCCACCCATGTTTAGGTCTTGTAGTTAGTTTCTTCCCTTCAGGTTTTCTGACCAAAATTGTGCACCACCAATAAACAAATAATACTGAATTGATAATATTCTCTAACAATTATTTTCGAACTCTTGCCAAAACTCTCTCTTCAATAGATGTAAATAACTGACTCATTACAGTACTCACAAAAATATTTTCAAAAAACCTTTTGGACATAAACTTTGTCAAAGTGAAAACTAAATTAACATTATACACTCTCATAAAAGCCAAATCTCTATAAGGATACAAAGAAGTTTTATAAAATGCACACAAAAAGAACCTGCTAAGTTTTTAATTCATGCACTTATAAGTCAAGTGTGTACTTTTTAGCTACAAGGACTATCCCAGACAGACTTATCTCACAAATTATAAAAAAAACTCTGTATAATAAAGAGACAAATCAAATTACAGTACAGTTTCTCGTTTTGCAAAAATATTTGAGAACTATGTGTATATTAGGACACGACTTTATAGTCACTAGACCAATCGTTCTCAACCAGTGTGCCATAAGGCTTTGACGAGAACAATGATTATATAAAATAATACAAATATAATTGGTATATGTAACAACATTATTTTTTGGTACTTTTTTATTTTTATACAAAACTTAAACCATTCTATTCTGATTACAGTGTGATACAAAAATAAATAATCCCCCAACTATGCTGCAAGCACACTGCACTACACATTCTACTTTCATTTCCTCATCATTTATGTACTGTATATTCTGCATCGAATTACACGTCTTTACAGCAGAACACAATGGCAATTCATTAACTCACAACATTTAAATTCACTACATCATGATGCTATCACAACAATTAAACTGACTGGTCTGAAGATATCAAGATGAGCTCCTTTCACACACTACAAATTAGTATTTCTGATACAGTGGGCAGACTTCGAGGTTTAAATAAATATAATAGTAGCTAAATACTTCTTCTTTCACTGCACATTTCACTACACTGTACAGCCAGCTAAAGATGAAACTGTAAACTAATGACCAAAGTTATAAATGATATTGTCATGTGTTGGGTATGTCACGCAACAAATAACTTCACTGGGTCTCGGATTTAGTGAATCTTTATTGAACACTCACTCTTACAATTATTATCACTTGACTTCTGGTCCAATACTCAGTGCAATGACTCAACTATCCTTGGCCGTGGTTGGATCTCAACTGTCTCTGGCGGCGGCTATCCCAAGATTGTCTCGTTCTTGTCTGTGTCATCTCTGGCTCTGCTTATGTAGGCGTTATGCGGACCGGATACCAGACACCATTTCTCATGGTTCTGTTACCGCTGTTCAGACAGTCCGTTGTTATGGGAATACTCCTTATAGAATACACCAGTAACGTTTTTCGTCTCATCCATTGTTACTCAACAACAATTCATTGTTATGATTTGTCGCTGTGTTAACTCCCCAATTTTCACGTATTCGTTGCCGTGGAAGTGTCCATTCTTACTGTAGCGCTTGTCATGGCGATGGACGTAAGATAACGCGTCACAATATTATGGCTGGCAACGATAACAAACCTGATGTACTTATGTCCTGTGACTTGTCTAAAAAGTAAATATCCCCAGGGAAGAAATAAGACCACAAATAAAGTATTACATACTACAAGAGCATCAACTGTCCCCATATTTTATAAAGCAGGCCTGCTTTGAGCGTACCTTGACAGCTTCCTTATCCTTGATGAAGACTGATCGAAGCTGTCCATTCATCTCAAAGAATACTTCCCTCTCCCCATTTGGTGTTAAGTCTTCTGCCATGGCTAGGGTCTTAATTCCAAGAGTCTTACCCTTCTCAATAGTGACCTGTGTGAGGTAACATAACCGTGTTATTATTTCATTAATAGAATTTGTCATATTTTAACCCTTCACTTATTTCCAATGAGATCATGTGCACAATTTCTGCCTAAATGAAGTTTGAACAAGATATACTGTGAAAGGAGAATACCATGTACTCCTTTCGAGTAAATCTTTGGGACTTGCAGGTGCTGAATGTCAAAAACTTCATACAAGAATTCAGAATATGTTTGTTACATTATCTGGATTGGTTCTGTGACAACTGAAAAAATTCAAGAAATGTAAAAAAAAAAGTACAATTTTTTTTCAAATAGCCTGAGTACACTACCTGAATTGTAATTCACTTACAAAACCAAAAATGCATTTAATTTGATCAAGAGTCTTATAATATATATACAACTTGCATAACGACATTAAAGTGAAATATCGGCATACTTTAACATAAGGAACACCCTCCTGAAGTCTGCCACATTCCTCCTAGGTCACCTGTATATATATTATATAGCACCAAATAAGTTGGGACAATGAATACTTGAAAATTTAGAAGGATGCAGTCATGACCTACTTCAAGGTACTACTATCCCAGCATTCACATAGTGAGCCTGCAAAAACCAAAAGAAACCTCAGTCAAGATTGTAAGAAGGCAGAGATTTGAAACGGTTACCTCCTGAATACAAGTCTAGAACATTACTGCTACAAAGACCAACACATTATATAACAATTAAACTGATCATAAAAGATTATGTCAAATACAGATTTTCCTTACTTCAAACTCTTCTCCAACTTTAGGACCAGTGAGGAATATTCGTGTATCCAGCTTATCAACTGGTCCAAAATTTTCATGGAATGTGAGGTAGTCATCTGTGACTTGTGGGTAGAGGGCTGCACTCATTACATCACGATCCGTTGAGAACGGGTGTTTCTCCTTGAGTTCTACTTTGAGCTTGTCAAAGTCTAGCAGTGCTAAGCTTGCCCCTGGGCGGCCTGACACACGTGGCATATCTTTTAGCACCTGAAAAATTATGACAGTGTTAATATAATAAAGGAATGCATGAACGCAGTCGCTCTCTAAAGCTTCTATATACAACTGCAACATTTGTGTGAACAGAGACACTATAACCTTAATATCGTAGACTGTCTTTTTTCTTAAAATTATATGCAAATATATGGAAAGTTTGTGAATGTTTTTTTTTCCAACAAGGGTTAAATATAAAATATGACTATATGAGCTTCTCTTTCCTATAAAAATAAATATGATTGTACTCTGACATGAGAGAAAGGGAAGATGATGTTTATGTTTTCTGATAAGAAATAAACCTTTGACATATGAAAACAACATCTGAGAGGGTACACTTAGTACATAAAATTACCAATGACATACCTATTTAAAAATTGGAATAATGAAATGCGTGTTAGTTGCCTGAGTATTAGTGAAAGTCTCAAACACTGAACTTCTACAGAACTTTTAGAAAAGTTTATGGAATAATCGGATAAGGCCTATACGGAAAAACCAACTTACAAGCTTATGCAACTAGGCTTCATTACAAGTCAATGTAGCTGATAATTGGAACTACCTAACAACTTTTGGTACAAGGATTCATATCAAATTGAAACAATATCTATCAAACAGTTTAGGGGACACATGAAAAGTAAATTTATGGCCTTTTGTAAAGCAGACTTTATTACAGGTCAACATTTGCTGAATATTGGATAATTCTGCTTGAAGTTTCCCATACCAAATTTCAACAAAATCTGTGAAATGGTTTATAGAATATATGAAAAAAGCCAATTTATGGCAGAATGTAAAATATTCTTTATTACAGATCAACTTAACTTAGAATTGTAACTGTCTAACAAATGTTGGTGCCATATCAAATTCAGGCAGTATGTCTGAAATAGTTTGTGTGATAACTAACTGCAACTCATAAATTATCCTGATTATAACTTCTTGGCATGGACCATGCAGAAAACAACGTTCAGCTGCTGCTGTCTAGTAATGGCTGTTGTACAGCTGCTTATTTCCTGAGGGTTAAGGGCAGCTGGCTCATAAGGCTTACAACTTCACTCCCATCTGTGAGCCAACTGTCTAGAAAATGTGGGAGACTTGATGTCTCACAAACCTATGGACATCCACGGTCTATTATAGGGATAGCTTTAACTTTTATGAACGAAGTTTAATGTTCAGTACAATTATGAAACCAAAAATAATTGCAACTCAAACAAAAATAAAAATTATAGACATCATAAGTGTGTATAATTAACAAAAAAGTATTTGAAGGTAGGAATGCAAAATGTATATACAAATAATATATAAATAATGAAAGCTTTTCCAACGTGCCAGAGATATGTCAGTTTAGATGTGAATTATGGAAGAAGAACACTTTAATTCTTGACATGTACAGTATATAATGTGACCATTCATATAATGATAGTTTTCAAAGCAAAATCCACACGTGTCAATATTTTAAGTGCAGATGGAAAAACTGTCATTACTGGAATATGTAACACTATAGGATATAGAGAATTATTGGGTTTTTAGACTATTTCCATCATCTGGAATTCTAGGTAATAGAGGATGTGATGTTTCAGAAACTGGATCACTGGACCAGTGATTGAGATTAGCTCTTCCTAAGGGGCCCAACTGAGTAGGTGTCTCCCTTTCTCATTTGAAGATGGAAACAGGTCCAGTTTCCGAAACATTGTGTCCTCTATTACCCGGAATGTCATCTATTACCTAGAATTCCAGACAATGGAAAAAGTCCAAAAACCCAGTAATTCTGTGTCATCCACCATTGTCAGAACCCTTTAGAATCTACTACAGGATATGTTGCCTTCTAGAAAAATATGTATATAAGGCTAGAAATATTGTAGCATTTTGATTATCTCTGCCTTTGAGCCATGTGTATCTTCTGGATAACGTGTTCCTAAAATGAGGTAAATGTAAAGTAGGGCACACAAATATCATAAAAGGTCCATGGCTGTGTGTCTAGTGAATTGACGCATAAATTTTGTAATTTTTTTTACACAGTTTTACTATATATCACACGTTTTTAACAGTGTTGTTGTTGCTGTTGTTAGTCTAAGATGGTAATCTGCAATAACCAGGGAACCATGTATAATGAACATACCTTTGACCTGAAGGGTTCAGGGAAACCCTGGTAAGGCTCACCTATGAAACCTTGGAGAAATTCAATGACTGACTTGGGGAAACTCAGTTCCTCTGCTTTGCTTAGGACATCATCTGCACTCAACTTATTTTGGACCATAAACTGAGCCAGATCACCAACTACTTTTGATGATGGTGTCACCTGCAAAAACAGGGAATAACTTATTCATGTCTTGCACATTTTTACAAGAAGCTCCAAATTAATGTGATGCCTGCTTTCCGTTAAACATTTCAACATCAACCTAAATAAGATACCACAATTTATAAATTATTAATTATGCAACATACTGACCTATTTCTATGTATAATTTCCACTATTCCCTCTAACTGAAAGCTGTCATACATCAGCCAAAAAAAAAGTTGTCTCCGTCACCATATTTGTTACTTATCATAGAAATGTTTCATGATTTAACTTCATATACAACTCACATTTCTATTTGCAACAATTCTTTAGCTACTGCTAACAAATGGAAAATTCAGTAAATATCTATTTTCCACAGCCGTCAGGTTACTTTTTGCTCAACTGAAAAATGGCCTTGATAAGCTCTGAACATTTCAGTTTAGGTCATCCCCACTAGAGATTCTGTTGAACTCTATGGAGTATTTTTGGAATGTGCTGATAGAAAACATAAATTCTCGTTACGTGCTCATTTTATGCAATTTATGGAAATAAGACGAAGAATCTTTTTACCAGCAAATTGGACTTTAATTTGAGGAAGAAACTAGTGAAATGCTACATTTGGAGCATAGCTCTGTATGGGGCTGAAACATGGACACTTAGGGCAGTAGATCAGAAACATCTGGAAAGTTTCGAAATGTGGTGTTGGAGAAGGATGGAGAAGATCAGTTGGACCGATTATGTGAGAAATGAAGAAGTGTTAATTAGAGTCAGTGAGCAGAGGAATATCCTACACGAAATAAGAAAACGGAAGGCTAATTGGATTGGTCATGTTTTACGCAGAAACTGCCTTCTAAAAGAAGTTATTGAAGGAAAGATAGAGGGGCGGATAGAAGTGACAAGAAGACGAGGAAGACGACGTAATAAGATGCTGGATGACCTTGGGGACAGAAGAGGATACTGTCATTTGACGGAGAAAGCTCTAGATCGCATTAAGTGGAGGAACTGTTTTGGAAGAGACTGTGGACCTGTCGTCTGACAGATTACTGATGATGATGATGATGGAAAGAATATACAAAATCATTCGTATAACAGCAGTTGTTACATATATACTTACGTAGCAGAGTAGAGACACAAATGTCATGCCAGCCCAAAATGAAGCTTAATACACAATGGCAAATTTCATATTATAGTGGAATTTTACATATACAGTGAAACCTCCATTTAAGGTTCTACTGGGGAGCAGTGAATCTGAATACTAAACAGAGGAAAATATTAAATATGGGAAATTTCACACTGAGATTATTAAGTTGGGATCACTGAAACTGATCAAATAAGAGAACACTATTAATCAAAGAACACTGAATGGGTGTTTCACTGTATATCCAGAGTTGAGAGCTGGCTACACTGAGATTTTACTGAGTCCGGAGACAAATTCTGGAATAGTCCTTTCAAATGGGCCTTAATTGCTTCCTTTCATAGCCTTCTCAATTAATTATTAATAACCATTCTCCAATTTTATGTTATATAACTTTTGAAATTAACAAACTGTTATTACATACACTGCAAGTTGGAGTAGCTCAGTTGGCATAGTACCAAAAATATGTGCTGGACAACCAAAGAATTGAGGTTGGATTACTGGAAGGAGGAAGAGATTTCTCTCCCCTCCACAGCATCCAGACCAACTTAGAAGCCCGTCCAGTCTGCATCCAATGGATACTGCAGACTCTTTCTCCTGGGGTGGTAAAGAGATTGGGGCATGAGGCTGACTGCTCACCATCAATTCAATTCAATTCAATTTTATTCATCCTTTTTAGTCAAACTACTGAAATAGGATAAATCTTACATGCACATATAAGAAATGTAAAAGTAACACAAATATGTCAGCTATGTCTCATTTTTTCCACTTCTCTAATTTTATTTGGCAAACTATTTTACAATCTGATTCCCATATTCATTGCACTTTTCTTGATGGCAAAGGTTAAGAATGTTACAGCTATAACCTCGCTTTCCTATGTACTCGTACTTCAAGGCATGATGATTAATTCAGAATAGGGACGCTTTGTGAATTAGCCTTCACCATCACACTTACTGGATCACAGAAAGTCAGAGCTCCACCTTGCATAGATCTGCTATTATTGGTTTAGAATTGGCCCTATGTTGACATAACTGACTATCGATAATATCTCTTAATTGTACACCCGAAATATACAGAGCCAAAACTCATAAAGCCAAAATAATTTTCACATTTTCAACATTTTACCATCAATTACTAATTCTCTGATTATTTAATAACGATGTTTCAGCTGCATACATTACCTAGCAATGAATGCAGTGGAAATATGATCATGGATGGTGATTAGGCAGGTTAGGATGAGGCATCTGAAGCCCATTTGAATGTACTATTACGGATTTCATTTTCAAGAAATAAGGAAAATACCTACTGTTAAATGACTCCAAAAACACTGACATAATTTTGTGAGCTTACCTTTATTATATCACCAAGGAGAAGATTAGCTTCCCTGTAAGCCTTCTTGACATCTTCAAAGAACTCTTCGAGCCCAAGGGAGTAAGCTTGGAACTGAAGGTTTGTGTATTGTCCTCCGGGGATCTCACTCAAGTATACATCAGCATTACCAGATTTCATTGTGGTGGTGCACTCAAATGGTGCATACAGAGTTCGAGTTTGCTCCCAGTATGCTGAGTATTCACTCACATTACTCAAATTCAAGCCTACAGTAAACAAAGGAACATGTTAAAATGAAGAATGTTTTTAAGAACTACTGAACAGAACTTTACTGGTTGCTATTACAGCAGCCCTTCTGCTGCAAGCTGGAGACCTGGCTTCCTGAACTTGGGAATGTTCAGGAGTCTTGAGCCATATCCAGTTCAGACCATGCAAACAACTGTGTATGTCATGACACTATCACACCACAACACTCATGATTTACAAATTCATACTACTGAACATTTAAGTCTGTGTTTATGCTGACAATATCTACACTCACTTTGGATATAGGAATGAACTACTGTTTGGAGGCGTATAAGATGTAAAATGTTGAATCATTCATACAATTAGTCTCCAGGAAATCACTATGCTTTACTTGGATTTGAAAGGTATATTTGCTTATTGCAGGTAGAACTGGTAAATCAACTGTCAATACAAAGACAGTCTACAGGCAAATAATATAAGATGAAAGACAACTGTCAATTGAGGCACCACCCACATGTGGCAAATAGCTGGAGAACTGTGACTGAAGCACTGATTTTAAACATGGCCAGCCTGAGACTTCTGAAGCATACAGAGGTTTAGAAATAAATAAATTTTACGCTCTTTCTGATTTTGAACACTAGATACAGGATCTGATATTGTAATAACATACTGGTATATCTTCATCTTCTGTTTATATTTCCACTAGGTGGGCCATTTTAAGACAAAGTCTCTTCCATTTTTCTCTCCTCCTGTAACCACTCCACTTATATCCATATCCAGTCTTGTCCCACTCTTTTACTTTAGTGATAGAAACATATATATTTTTAGTAAATATTAAAATTAAAAATCTCTTAATTTGTTTATCTATAAATACACTGAAGCAGACTCCTCTTGAAGAACCAGAAGTCACTCAGTTGGTAAAGAAATTCTTGTACCTGAAGGCAAAGTGCTACACTCAAATTATCCTGGCTCTGGGCCCTATCTGAGCAAGTTAAATCCAGTCTGTACCCTCACATTCAATTTGATTAGTTAGTTAGTTATTGGAGAGGGTGGGTTTCCCCATGCACTTAGACCTGTATTGGTCCATTGTGCTTCCCTCTACGATTTCTACCATTCTCTATATCCTACCGGTACTGGTGCTTACCATCAGTCCCGCCCAGCCAGCAAGACCGGCTCTACTAGCTGAGAGGTAACTATAATGCTTCCCCCATCTACCAGAGGTATTAGAGACTGATGCTGGGCGGGAAACGTCCATTAATTTGGCTCAGTGACCTCCTTTGAAGATATGAGGTTCTTTTACGTGCCATAAAGCTACGACACGCGACCCACGGCTTAAAGTCCATTCCGGAGGACTTGTTCCCTGAATTTTTCCACCCTTAAAAATTCGACGACCTCCGCCGGGTATTTGAACCCGCGTACTACGAGTCATGAGGTGGGAACGTTACCTCTAGACTACGGAGGCCGCTATTCATATGGTTACTTTCTGTCAATCGACCATCTTTGTTCCCATCATGTTGCCGAGAGTGTTACTTTACATTTAATTGCTTTCCTCTTATTTACATTTTTATTGTCACTATGATTTGCTGTTTGCTGGTGGTACAGCAAGGAATGCTACACCAAAATCAGTAATTCAGTTGTAACAGTGGGGGCTTGCATTATACTACATGTCTATTTTATTGTTTGTACTCCATTCATCTCTTTTACTATGTACCCATTTGGTTCCATTACAATTGTGTTTACCGATTCATCTGCAATGTTTCCTTCATCAGAACAATCCTACATACTGGTCAGAGGCAGAAGGGGGGAAGGGGGTTAGATAGAAACAGAAAGTGGTTTTCCTAGCTGGACTTCATTCCTACTTTGACAGACACGGATACTCATAACTGTGCCGTGGAATGTGAGTATATACTTCATTAGATACAGATAATTGTGCTGTGATGTAAAATGTGAATTAGGGGAAATGCAAATAATTGTATGCATTGTGGTTGTGCAAGAGTTAAATATGACCACAAAACACATCTAACCTGTATCTAGTTTGCTTCCCTGAAGGCACGCTACAATTGCACCCATACTGGGTTGTGATGTCATGCCAGACATGGAGTCTACTGCTACATCAACAACATCTGCTCCTGCCTCCGCACAAGCCAACATAGAAGCCACACCTGCTCCAGCTGTATCATGGGTATGGATGTGTATCGGAACATCCGGATGTTTGTCTCTCAGTGCTGTGATCAGAAGTCTCGCTGCAGCTGGTTTCAGTAGTCCAGCCATATCCTACATTAGAAACACAATCATTTTTATTATCAAAATATTTATAACAATGATATTTCACTGTAACCTCAACTGTATTTGGAATTGTTCACTGTCTGGTGTATTGTATATTCTGTATGAGTATGTAGAACACAGTTCTTCAGGCAGCTGCTTGTCAGTTTGCTGACATACCAAATGTTATTTTTGGAATTAGTTAATGCTGCCGATAATAAAAATGTTAAGGAATATACTTGGTTCTATGAGAAACTTTTTTTTATTACTAGTGGGGTGGGACCAAGTCCCTTGTACTGCAACCACTTCTGGCCTATTGTACCAGCCCCAGATGATAGGTGAGGGTGATTGTGGAGCAATTGGTGGAATCAAGATTGGCAGGGGAAACCGAAGTACTCAGAGAAAACGCGCCCCAGTGCCATTTTGTCCACCACAAATCCCACCTGACCAGACTCGGGGTTGAACCCGGGCCACCGAGTTGGGAAGCCAGAGACTAACCGCTTGAGCTATGGCACGGCCCTATGATAAACTTAGTAACAGATAGCTGGAGAATCTACATAACATGGAGCTTCATAATTTCTAGTTTTCACCTAATACTGCTAGGGTAATCAAACTTACGGAGGACAAGATGGGCTAAATACATATTGGACATGGGGAAATGAGAATACATACAAAGTTGTAATAAAAAATATCTTAAAGAACAGACATCTTGCAAAAGCTAGATGGGCATGGGAGAGTAATATTCACACGGGTTTTCATAGTCATGCTGATGCTGAGGATATCTGGACCTAATGAACAGAAGGTAACAGTAGGATGGAAGAAATTACATTACAAAGAGCTTAATAATATGCAGCCTTCAACTAAGAGAATAACACGTGTATTAGGGACTTTAGAAGTGGGTTTGCCTCAGCGAGTCGATTTATTGGATATTCACCAGGCAGCACTACAATTAATTATAACACCTTCAAACTTATTGTAATTATATCACTTCATAACTATGAACAATGATTAACACTCTAAAGGTTACGTGGGGAAGACATAAAATTTTAATTATCACCCAGAAGAAACAGAGACACAGGTGCAAGAAACTGTATTTGAGTTAGTCCTCTATATATAACCCCTGCAAGGCCACACATTTTCCCCAACGATGTATTAGCTGCTGAATATCTTGATCATAGAAGGTCTCATTTTGAGTGTTAGGAAGTCCTCCACTGCAGAAATGACATCATCGTCTTGGAATCGCTTACCACGAAGTGGCTTCTTTAGCCATGGAAAGAGGAAGAGTCGCTCGGTGCCAGGTCTGGTGAATACAGTGGATGGGGGAGAATTTCATATCCAAAACTGGCCGCATGTTTCACTGTAGCATGAGCAGGATGAGCTGGTGCACTGTCATGAAGAAGTCGCACCTCTTTTCCCAGCATTCGTGTCGCTTTTTCTTGATTTCCTCCCATAATTTTCTCATAAGGTTCCGGTAGTATTTACCAGTGATGGTGATGCCCTTTTGCACATAGTCGGTCATGATGACACCCCGCTGATCCCAGAACATGCTCAACATTAACTTTCCTGATGACAGCTGGGATTTGGTCTCCTTTGGTGGCAGCGAGTCTGCATGTTTCCAATGCTTGCTCATTTCTTTTGTTTCAGGGTCATAAAGATAGACCCAACATTCATTCATCGTGATCAGGAGGTCAAAAAATTCCACCTTTTCATTTGACACAACTGCAAAAGTTTCTTTGTCACATCCATCCATTGCTGTTTTTGAACTGGTGTCAAAAATCATGACACCAAATGCACAGCGACCTTTGTCATGTGTAACTCCTCATGGATGATGTTGAAAATCGACCCATGGCTAATGCAGACCTCATGAGTAATAGCTAAGATAGTTATGCGCCTATTGGATAGGATCAAAGCTTCCACCTGTGCCACAATTCCTGGTTCCTCAGCGAGAGATGGTCTTCCACTTCGGGGTTCAACTTTGAGGTTTGTCTGCCCACAACGAAAGCGCCTCTTCCATCTGGCCACTGTGTCATATGATGGTACACCTTCCTGATACACAGCGGTCATCTGGTTGTGGAGCTCCATGGCAGACTTGCCTTGCAAATGCAGGAACCGTATCACAGCGTGAGCCTCCACTTCCTCAACCAACATTGCCATTTTGCTTTTGCCCCTTCCGGTGGCTCCCTCTGACCACTTGGCATGGGAAAATTTGATGGATCAGCAAACTCAGGAAATGGGGAATCTCCTATATAGAATGATATTTTGGAATTATGATTTTCTCATGGTGATAATTAAAACATTATGACTTTCCATCGTACTGTAAGTACACCATATAAAGATTTTTCTTCTGATTTCTGAATTTTTCTTCTGACTTGTGTGTCTGATTTCTTCCTCTGACTTTGTCTGACTTCTGGTTATAACTTCCATGGCTCATTCCTAGTTATAACTGTCAGGAGGCCATGATAGCAGACATCGCCTTGAAGAGTGTCATTTTCCATATTTCTCTTTTAAGAAGTTGTTACTGTGCACCCTACAATTCATTGCTCTCGTTTTAACGATTCACTGCCATGGATATCTGCTTTCAACAGTTAAAGTTACACTGCGTGCAGTGAATTATAGTACTTGAACCGTTGTGTAGCAATGGGCACCTATTCTTGGATGCCTGGGAATGTGTTTACCTATTTGTTTCCCAGAAATGGCTCAATATGTCACAATAACTTATATGAGACCTAGGCATAAATGAGAAGGCAATATCAAAATTGCTCTTTGAAAATGTAGGATGCAAACTGGATTAAAGTGACAGGATAAAATGCAGTGGGAGTCTTTTCTGAAAATTGTACCAAGCCTTTGGGTTTGATAAAACAGGAATCTATTAATCATGACAACTACATACTTTTCAAGAAAGATCCTGTTATCCTATTCATTAGTTAATTAGTTCATTAATCTATTAATTGCATCTTTTTTAGTAGAAAACAAGGGGAATTTAATATAACTCCAAATAAAACAAATATACCTTTATGCATAGGATATGTGTGCCTGCTTTAACGAGCTCATCAGCCAGGTTGGTGTAGTACTTGAGGTCATATTTCTTGCGTGTGGGGTCCGAAACATCACCCGTATATGAGATGGCAGCCTCCACCACACCTCCTGCCTTACCAGCTGCTTCCATGCCTAGCACTAGGTTGGGGAGGTAGTTAAGTGAGTCAAATACTCTGAAGATGTCCATTCCGACCTGCACAGACAGCTCACAAAACCTATAACACAAGAGAAATCAATCTGTTTCACTGCAATTAAACTCATCTAATGTTTCAATGAATGGCAAAAGTAACGAGAGATACCTGTCATACCAGTATGCATTCATATACCTTGCATACCTAAATATGATGCACCCCAAAATGAACTGTCAACCCCTCTTCTTTGAAATATGTTTAAAAACAGATAAAAGATCAACTGAAACAATACTTGTTATCATTAATAAAATAACGCATTTAACTAGGCCAATTTTTTCTCATAGCCTTGCACATTTCACATTAAGGAACTGGGACCACTTTCTGGGACTGATTTTCACTAGCCACACTTCTGGTCACTCCAACCCAACTGTACTGAAAACCTGATGTAGAAAGATAGAGGCAGCATGGATGGTGTTGCCAAGTCTACAGTTAACACTGACGCACCTACCAACGTTTTACTGCATGCATGCCAACATGAACACATAAAAGAGCCCCAGTTTCTATATGCAAAAATGTCAAAGAGAAAAGTTTGTATGGTAGTTGTGTAAATACACCATAGAAAGCTAAGAAGAAAAGGGAAACATATCCCAAATTTGATGTTTATGTTATCTTTATGGTCATTCTCTCATAATATCTCTATAGTTAATTTTATTTCAAATAAATAGCCAAAAGTAATGCAGTATGGCAGAAGTGCCTCAAAAAGAAGTACAGCCTATGATGAGTGCTTTGTTTAGTGAGCATTTCTTATGACCTGTCAATTTAATTATGTTGAACATGGCAATATTCGTCATTTTAACGAGTGAATATTTAGAGGATTTTTGTTTAACATGGGATCTCTCCCTCCTTCCTGGATTTGTGTAAGCATAATCTTTGACAGTAAGGGTTAGGTACAGTTTAATTTCTTTAATAATCACATGGGTATACAGGTGCATTCTAGCAACTCATGAGCATTAACTGTTATATTTCATTTTCATGCACAGAAATTGTACTGGCTGTAAACTGAGAGTTACCCTTACCACACTAGTGCTTCCAGTCTGCCTACTACTCTTAGTGACTATTGACATGAGCCTTTTCATGGGATATGTCACGAAGTTTGTGCAGAACAAGTCTTGGTAAACAACCTGTAGACAGTCACAGGACTGTCCTACTGCACAGAAGCAAAATTGAGATGAGACAGAAAGAGACAAATGATTTAGCTGGAACATGTTTCTGTGATAGGTCCTCATCAACTAAGCTTCACAATAATAAGAGCTCAAATCAATACATCAATTACTTTGAAGCCCTTCAATGACCATGTAAATGCATGGGGCTTCTGCACAACTTTGGAGTATCATGCTTTACATCACATGAAAAGGACTGGTATAAATAGGAACTCACAACTTTTACTTTATTGTTAAATTTATTTACATTCCGTAAATCCAGAAACAGGCAGACACCATCGGATATGAACCTCTGACTATTACTTCCAAGTCTATGCTCCCTCGTCTTTCTTGGGAACTTTGTTGCAGATCCATAGTAATAAATGGCACGTGCAAACTTGGTCATACTAGTGACTGGATGTGTTTATGCAGGTTCTGTTTCTCGGCAGTAGTCAGAGACATAATACAATCTTATTATTATAGTGAATGTTTTCAAGAAACTGCACCCCAGTGGAGACAGGAAAAAATGAAGGAAAACAGGAATACTAGAAAGTCATAAATACAATGGCATTCATCAGATCACACAGCTGCCACATTTGTTCAGTGTTGAATGCTGTAACAATTATGTCTCACAGTATTCAATGTAAAAATATGAAGTGGTAACCATTATATTTTCTCCTTTGTGTATCAATTCCATGCATGATGGTATGATTCACACATACTTCATGTATTACAGAACTCAACAACAACCCAAATTTGTATTCATTATAATGGCAAACCTGTAGAGATTCACTCTGATTTTTCGATAAATTTATACATTTCCTACACCCAAACTGCCTATAATAAGTATTTGTTATAACATCAATTTTTCACCCAATTATGATCTTTTGTTATGACGGACTTCCTCTGTAGCTATTATGCCATAGTGTATGGTAGTTAGCACACTTACTTGAAAACAACATTGTCAGGATAATTCGTATAGCCAACTGCATTTGCTCCTCGTAGCAACATCTGGAAGGGAATGTTGGGAATCTGCTTACGCATGTCTTCTAATCTTTCCCAAGGGCACTCATGAAGGAAACGAAGTGCAACGTCAAATGTGGCACCACCCCAATTCTCCATGGAGTAGAGTTGACTGAAATTATGTGCAACATAGGGAGAGATGCTTAACAGATCATGTGAACGAACCCGGGTTGCCAAGAGTGACTGGTGTGCATCACGGAACGTCGTGTCCATCAGCAATAGACCCTTGTGGTTTCGTACAGTTTTAGCAAATGCTTCTGGTCCTTGGGCCTTCAGAATGTGACGGAATCCTTGTGGAGGTTCTGGGCCTAAAAACACAGCAGTCAGTTAGTAATGTGTCCTGTGTGAATATAAGATGCTGATTTATTTTATTGCCTATGAGTTTGTATCATGAAATCTGTAGCATTATGTGACAGTAATTAAAGCAGTGATTCGTCTTATCGGTGTTTCATAAAATAAAGTGCTCTAAAATAAAGGAATTTCATATTCTGTACCATATATCTTCAATAAGCTCTTATTTAATGCTTGTATCTATGTGTAGAACTAAATTACTTCACTCTTGTAAATGTATCTTTAAGACATTTCATAAAATTGCAAATAATGACACACATTAATTTGACTGACACATGAAAGTTAGTGCATCGCAAGAAACAAACACTGATTAATCTTATTTATCAATGATGAGAAAATGAGAGGACATGACAAGAATATTTTAAGTTCATAGCCCCAGTGATGCTGGGTGGTAACAAGGCTATTAAATATTGAACAGACTGCTTTATGCATTAAACTGTACAAGGTTGTCTGCAAACAAACCAGGGATGATACTCATTAGTTACTAAAAGAATTAACTCTCATCTCAAAGAAAACCTGTACCTGAGATTCAGCCAAACATCATATGTGACAATTATGAAGAAAAAGAACCTAATTATTCTTTTCAAAACTGGGTGCTTAAACATTTATTGTGCAGTATCAGTTACACCTATATTCTAGTAATTTTTTCCAATTGATAGTGGGGGGTGAGGTCCAACTGGGTCCACTCGGCACAGCGGCCACTGATTGGCCTATTGTAGCCTGCCCCGGGTGATTATGATGATGAAGAATTTGGTGGAATGAAGATTGGCAGGGGAAACCGAAGTACTCAGAGAAAAACCACCCCAGCGCCACTTTGTCCACCACAAATCCCACTTGACCAGACCCGGGATCGAACCCGGGCCACCGCGGTGGGAAGCCAGCGACTAACCGCTTGAGCTACCATGAGGCCTTCCAATTGATAACTTGGGTATAAAAAAATATGTTAGGTTTCTTTCATATTTTACACAAAGGTAGTAAGTCATTTAAAATTACTCATACAGAATACAAGATATTTATGGTAACAGGATCAACACACTGCCAACATAAATTTTTACCTTATTAGAATAGAGAAAAGTTGGTACAACATATGCTGCGTCTCTAAAGAAGACTGCTGATACTTTAAAAGAGATATTTTTAATTAAACAAATGACTTAAAACGTGATTTTCTAAACTGTTATAAAGCTCTCAGAGCTTTAATCCCTATAATTTTATTGGATACGAGTGTCACAAGTAGTGGTACATTTGCAAGTGTATCAATTTGCCTCTGTTGAATGGTGACCATTCCTGAGAAATCACTTGATTGTTTTATTATAAACCCGTGGTACTGAATTTAAAATTGTAAATCCAATTGTTTAAAATATCATCATATTTCAATGTCATGTTCTAGAATGCATAAATAACAAGCTCTCAGGCCAGTGGACTAGTAATTAGGGTCCAATTATATGGCCTCCTTGAAGTTGAGTCACACTCCACTAGACTTCTGTACTGGAGCTGCAACTTTGGGCACTTATAGACATGCTGATATAAGTGTGAAGAGAAACTGAATATTGTTCGGATGTTTCATGAAAATTAGGAAAAAAAAATGAGATAAACAGACCATGTTTGCACAGAAAATTCTGTAACTTCACTTTGAGATAAAAATAAGATTTCCTAACTAAACTGTCTGTCACATCATAAAATTTACCAAGCGTATATCATGGAATAGCTGTTAGGAAGCTGGAGATATACTGCATATTCTGAAATGCGATACAAATAGTGGCAGAAAAAGTGATAATTAATAATTAAAATGAGGAATATTTAGAAGCATTATTATTGTTAGTATATCAGGCCAATCCAAACAAATCAGTTATTAAGGAATATTTCCATCTTTAAATTCTTATGACCATGTAATAAGGATGGTTACCTAAAAGCAACAACAATAATCTCTATATTTGTATTACTTTACATACATTGTGTTTTATGAGAGATGTGAACATATTTTATGAAAGCTGCCTTATGGGAGTTGACAACATATAGCATTGTTGATATTTAGCAATATTTTTAAGGAACTTGCTGCCTTCTCTTTTATCCTGAAGATGGAGAAACAGGTTTTTCTGAAACACCAGTAATTATCTACCAGAGTACTTGGTGTCACATCCCAGAAAACAGTAATAAATCATAGTCACCACCATGAGAACCTCAAGGATGACAGGATACTATATCTTTTCATTACTTTTAAATTTAAAATGATGCTGTTATATCATAATAATTGCATGGTATACTTATACTGCATAAGCATGTAAATGTCATGGACAGAGAATTTCCGCCATGTAAAGAACAACTTAGCAAATAATAGATGGACTTCTCTTATCCTAGATTACAGCCATCTGGCATGTGTCATTGTGTAATTTGGTACACAGGTACCAACATTCTGAAGGAACCTGCAGCCTTTTCTTGAGGCTCTCCTACACTGAAGAACCAGCATTTCAGAAGAAGTACTGCCTTATTTTCAGGTTCCCCTAGCCTAAAGACATTGGGCATATGTTCCTCCAAAAGAAAGGTAACTACATACTGTCACATACTAGAAGGCAAATCATGATATTCACCACAGTAAGAACATAATCTTATTCTAGATTCATTCTCACATTGCACAGTTTGATGAAATTACATGGACTTCTGTATTATCAATATTCCACTTCTTAGTTCACAAAAAATATTGTTCTAAGAGGATCGTACTGAAAGTCACGAGCAACAATTTTTGGAAGGTAACATGCTTTATTATTGACAAACCAAATACACCACCTCAATCTACAGACCTTTCTTTATTTTTCCACGTAATCACCACTTCTTTGTACACATTTCTCCCAGCATTCTGAGAGTTTGAAAATTCCCCTTCTGTAAAATTCTGTTCCAGCCATCTGAAGACACTGACGCACTGCTTTCCGAATTGCCTCCCTTGTCTCAAAATGTTGTCCACGCAGCTGATCCTTCACAAATCCGAAAAGATGGTAGTCGGAGGGTGCCAGATCAGGGCTATAGGAGGGGTGTGGAAGAACTTCCCACCCCATCTTTGCAATTGCTTCCAATGTGAGGCGAGCGGCGTGGGTGCGAGTGTTGTCATGCAGGATGATGTTTCATCTCGGACGTTTGTTGCCCAATGCATGACAGAGCTTGTGCAGCATCTGGACATAACGAGCAGCATTGATAGTTTGCCCAGATTCCAGGAATTCAGCCAGAATAAACCCCTCTGCATCCCAGAAGACTGTGCCCATCACCTTCGCAGCTGATGGCACTGTCTTTGCCTTCTTTTTTGATGGAGAATGCACATGGTGCCATTCCATACTCTGCCATTTCATTTCAGGCTCGAAATGGTGAAACCAGCTTTCGTCACGTGTCACAATACAGAGCAAAAACTCATCACCTTCGTGTCGATATCTCTGCAGCAGTTCTG